AGAAGAAAAAGAAGAATCAGAATGTGAAGAAGAAGAAGAGTCGGAAGGTGGAGAAAAGAGGAAAATAATGAAGAGAAGGAATATTAATAAAAGCTCTCATGGAAATAGAGCAAAAAAGATGAGAAAAAACGGAGCAAAAACGAAATTAACGGTAATGATATTAAAAGGAAATGAAAAAAAAAACGGAAAGACAAAACCAATAAAACCTTAACAACAATAACAATAATAAGCAGAAGAAGAAGGAGAATCAGCAGCAGCAGAAGAAAAAAGGCGAAAGAAAATGCAGTAGATTAATGTCCTATCTGTATTCTAGACCCATTTCATTCTAAATTCCAGGATGTAATTCTTTCATATCCATGACAATCATATCAAATAATGGAACGAGCTTGCAAATGGCAAGCAGCAGTTGAGATACCAATTTGGAAAATATCGTTTCAGTGTATTTTTATTACACCGAAAATTCTTTTTCTCCAATTTTTACGGTGTTCGGAAAGTAATGACATATTTTACCGCTATGAATTGTGAGTCAAGTAACCATGGCAGAGGCATGGTTTTGATAATACGAAACTGAGTCTAGAATTAATTTATCATGTTTCCTTATCCAACAGTAAAGCCTTACGGCCACATCACGTTGAAATATTGGTTCCCCTATAATCACCGAAGTTAAACAATAACGTACCTGCTAACATTATATAACAAAATCCAGATTTCTGTCTGAATTTCTGGAATGAGGATTTATTATTTACACGCGGATTATTGTCCTCATCTTTGTTATCAAAATGTTGCGACCGTTCTACTCTCCGACTTTCATCAAGCGTTTAACGATTCGGTTAAGCTTCCATGTCATCATAATTGTGAGTCTAATCCCTGGGGCGGGCGCTTACGATCACTTTGTAACATTGGTTCTCGTACGAAGTCAAGCAACCGAGATGGGTGACCGCTTGGGAATAGCAGAATATATATATATATATATATATATATATATATATATATATATATATATTCATTTTAACGTCTCCTAAACTAAACTTCTCTTCATTAATAATCTGAGAGACCCCTCTCTACCTTCCATCGAAATGGCTGATGCTATCATCCAAGGAATCGATTCACTGTGTCATGCTAGACAATTTTTCTCTCCGGAATATATCTTGCATATCTATAAGTCTACCATTCATCCACTCTTAGAATATTGCTGCCACATACATGTACTACAGTACGGTGTCCTTGCTATTTACCTGGAGCTCCATGATAGCATCGAAAGAAGAATCAGCAATATTATTGGTCCTGATCTGGCTGTTCGGCTTTAGTCACTTGCCCAACGCTATAAGGTTGCCTTTTTGTGCCTTATTTTATAAATACTTCCACGGTAATTGTCTGGATGAACTCGTTGCTATGGTATATAGACTGTATGAATTTAAGCCCGATACTAGACTGGCGACGAGGTCACATCAGTTTATTGTTGAGCAGGGTTAAATATAGCCGTAACTTCGATGCTAACAGTTTTTTGTCTTGCACTTCTTGCTTGTTCAATTTTCTACGGGCTCCATGCTTTCCAGCCACATTTAATCTGCAAAAATTGAAATGCATTGTCAATCGCTATCTACTGTTTTCCTGATTGCTTTTTTTCTCTTTCTCTACGTTTCTAATGTTTCTGTTTCTAATTCCTCCACAACCTGTAACTTCTTGCATGCTACGAGCCGTAATGTCTTGTTTGATGCGATACCGATTAAAAAACCGATTAAAAAACTATATAATAAAATGCTATATATATATATATATATATATATAAATAAAAAGAAAGAACAGTAAGATATAAAATCCGGTGTTCTTATAGATATTTTCACTTTTACAAAATAGTGCTCAATGTCAATTTACAGAGCATTAATATTATAAATATGATTTAAAATATGTTTTTATATGTGATATATAAATATGATTTAAAATATGTTTTTTTTCGCTACACAGTTCTAACCATGCTTCAAAAATGGAAGCTAAAAGCTTCGAATTTAATTTTGTAATTAAATTAAAGACATTAGTTCCATTTCGTCCTCAAGCGAATTTTGGAGTAACTTATTTATTACTGGGTTTTAAAGGCACAGCAAAAAATCATAATTCACATTTCCAAGGATACAGAGAAATCCATTCATCTAGACAAGGGGTGTTTGCGAGTTCATTATCGCTGTATTTTGTTTGTATTTATATATATATATATATATATATATATATATATATATATATATATATATATATATATATATATATATATATATATATATATATATATATTTTGCACACACAAACATGTATATATGAGAGTGAGAGGAAGAGAAGGACTACTGATAAAAATAAAAATTATACTTCTGTAAAAAAATGCTATCGTAAATAGAATCACGCGGTATGTTTTAGCACAAAATATTAATGTTTTTTTTTTAGCGTTCCCTAACTTGATTAACTGCCCTCGACTTAGTTTTAATTTATGCTCATGTCTAAGAGTACGAAATACATCTCATGGCAGTCTGGCTAGAGGCCCGAAATATAAGTCGCCTCACTGAGACAATCTACAAACAACTCAAACGAAAAGCCCCTGTATCTTGCAACGCCTAAAAATAATACGAGTCTATACACGTAAGATTATTGCTTAATCACTATTGGAATTCGTCAATTAATATCAGCATGAAGGTGTATGACTTTGGAGATGTTCATTGAACGTTGATCTCGCGAGGATGTACGAGACTTTGGTTTTTTCTTTTCGGGATGGATGCCTATATAATTTCCTGTTTTTCGGTCGTTCTGCGTGCGCATATGCTAAGCTCAGCTGGATGGACTTCCTGTTTATAATCTTTGCGGCCCGATTCTGCACCTGGTGGCCTCCAAATCAAGTTCAAAGCTTGCTTTAATATATCTTAGGGTGAGCCAGTATATAATGGGATCATCATAGATCAACTACTCTTAGAACAAAGATACCTTATTGACAGCAAATTTGATATGATCTCTGGTATTTCCTGGCGTAAATCATAATTTACACCTGAGTTCACATTTCTTTTTTTATATCTTAATATATATCCTGTTTGAGGCATTGTCTAATTCTGTAATTTGTGAAGTGCTTTCTTACAAAGGTTATAAATATATCCTTGCTTGTTATTCATGAATACACATGAGTTATATCATTGTTATAGTAATGCAAGATTGTGACAAGATACATATATCTCTGCACTTATTTGAATAATTTGAAGAGAGATTCATAAAAGATTGTTTCTAGAAATTAGCAGTTTTAAATATGGCCTATATTTTCTACGTGGTCCAAGATATTTTCGAGGTTTTGCACGCGTCTGAATATCCCTTTGGATAATAAGATTTTGGATTGTTTTTCAGTGTTTAAAACGCACTTCAGAGTTTAACCATATAGAAACAAACGTACACAACAATATCGTAAAATCAAAAGAAAATGGTTGAATCCGTCAACACAGCAATAATAACAATATCTCCACACGTGACAGTAATTGACGTAATTTTCAGTTAACAGTATGAAAATAGCGTTCTCTAAATTCTTCCACTTGCTAAGGACATTTTGTTTTTTGTTATTATTAGTTACTTTGTTTGAATAAATTCATTTCGTATTTTGCCTTGAGAAAGTCCACATTGGACGAAACGTGTCGGCAACTACTAGTTTTCCTATTGTCATTTATATTTATAGATATAGAGGATTATAAATTTAAAATGAAAATATCTGCCATTACTTACTGTATGCATTCTGAAAGGGCAGTAGTGCTACAGAGGCATTTAAAAACATTTATGCGGCGTATACGGAGGCAGTAAAATCTTGTACATATCAGCTATGGTTTAAAATGACTCATTGGAAAAGTATATTGATATCGTAAGACGATGAAAATTCATTGAGTAATCATTTCTGTAGTCTGCCATTTAATATCGGCGTGACGGTGTGTAAGTTCGGGGACTTTTTTCCGACAGTGATATTCTTCTCGCGAGGATCTAAGAGACTTCGTCTTTTCCCTTTTTGGTTGAATGCGTCTTGACGAAAATATTGAAAACGTTTTTTTTTCTCGTCGATCTTCTCCCCGCCCCCAAAAAAAGAGGGCTTGGAAAATTTGACACTCATAAGACATATTGAAGTGTGATAGAGGAAAATGAAAATTTGCCTTCCCGTTGGTTTGATGTCATTGAAAATAAAATAAATCACATTTTTGATAAAAAAAAAATCTTCCAGCTGCCGTGTCTATTCAGGACGTGGACGACCACGGTTCTCCACAACTTCCTATTTCTCGTAGATCTTAAAATGTATTTCTTTTTACTATCTCTCCTAAACCCTGTTCTGTCAAACATTTACGCAAGCTCGCCTGGCAGTTTATTCGCTGATTTTCTCACGTTTGCGTTCAATGTCCTGTGAGTGTCAAATTTTCCAAGCCCTCTTTTCTCATTATGTGCCTTAGAAATTTCAATTGTCTCATTTTGATTGTAAATATGTGTTCTCTTTGTTTACATTTTCTCTAAAACTTCATAGTTGCTCTCATATTAAATCCATAGTATTCTCAGTATCCTTCTGTAGAACCACGTTTTTGTTGCCTTGTGTCTCTTCTTCATCTATAATGAGATTGCACAGCATTCACTGCCATATAGAAAGACCGTATTACATAACAATCCCGTATTCCTTTGTTTCTAACGAATTTTTCTGCTTCTTATTACTGAAGAGACTTATTTTTAATAAACTTTTTGCAGGTTACTTAACGCCAGAAAATATTATTAGATTTAAAGAATCTTTGGAGATAATAATGGTTTACTGATACAAGACCTAATAATTAACCCATAACTTGTTGGGTAGAGATGGATTCATATATTTCACAAGGATATTTGCCATAAGTAAACATAACCTAGACTAGACATTATAAACATAAACATAAGTAAACATAACCTAGACTAGAATTGGAACTCGGTTCTCCGATTTCTAATTCCGAGCTGTTATCTATTACACCACCCGCACATCCACGCTTTCCCATGTGGTCACGCATTTAGATACTAACCAAGTTCGACATTGCTTAACTTTGGTTATCTTACGAGAACGGGTGTTTCAACGAGTTATCGCCGTAATGAAATGTAAATAAATTTAGCTTAAATTTGCTTTTACATGTTTTCTGGTAAAATGTAATTGCTTTTTGAACATTTATCGTTATTATTATTATTATTATTATTATTATTATTAATTACTTCATTTAGAATTGACTGATGAAATTTTAGGATCGTTCCAAGCACAGCAATAATTAAGAAAACGTTCGCCTCAATAGTATTCAATAATTTCCGAAACTATCAATCAAGGTTTGGTTTTTAAAAGTAATTTTGCTTTCTTTTTTAAATTATGTTCGCTGTTAAAATTAGCAATATACTTGCAAACGCTAATTGTTACAGTGTAATTTGTGTCATTAGTGTCGTCAATGCTTTGTATAATTGTATCAAATTAGTTAGTCATAGTCACCATATATTTTTTTAAATTAGAAATTACCCATTTTTTTTTATCATTTCACTCCAAGGAAGGCAATAAAGTCGCCAAGACGCAGGGCGTTAATGAGTGTGAAAGAATATGAAGAAAAATGGTATTAAAGAAAGAGAACAATAAAGACGGGAATTAAGAAGACAGAAGATAACAACTAAAGTTGCATTTACATTTTTAAAGATCAAATCTGCGTGTGAAGCAAGAATCCGAAAGAGAGTTCCACAAGCAAGAAGTGCGAGAGAAGAAACTGTTAGCATAGAACTTACGGTTATATGTAGCCATTTTAACTGTAAGAGGATGTGACCTTGCCGCCAATACACTTGAAGTCATAAAATCTAGGTACCACAGAGAAATGTTCATCAGAACAATTACCATTAAAATATTTGTAGAAAAAGCATAGGGACGCTATTTTAATGGAGTTTCAAACTGATATGTCAAGTTAGGACTTTGAAATCGCAGATTCGATTTTATTAATAATCTCTAAATATATAGCAGGAGAACCAAACGAGATGTGGCATCAATATTCGAAATATGAATGAATGGCAAACTTATAAATGTGCAAAATAGATTCCGTCTAGAAAAATTGTTTAACACTTAACAGTGAAACAACGTTCCTAGTTGGTTCAATTTTTTAAATGTTATTTATTTAGCATTAAGGCTCTGAATCGTGGGTAACCTACAGCCACCACCTAAGACACCTTCAGCGCTGTCTCCGTATCATCTTCAACATTCACTGGAGTGATTACGTCACCAACGTTGAGGTCCTCGAACAGTCGAAAATCGCCAGCATTGAAGCTATGTTGTTGAAGTCACAGCTACGCTGGGCAGGGCACGTCTCCGGAATGGTGGACCATCGCCTTCCCAAGATAGCCTTGTATAGTATACTCTCCACTGGAAACCGTGACAGGGAGCACAAAGGAAGCGTCATAAGAACTCCCTCGGTACCTGCCACATTGACCATCGCTAGTGGTCGACCGTCAAGCCTGGCGCCGTACCGTCTACCAGGCCGCCTCCACCTATGAGGACTCTCGCAGGACAACCTGAAGGAGAAACGCCGCTGGA